AGTTCCGCACTGGCCACCACCCCGAATGGGGCCAGCAAGCGGGTGCTCTACATTCCGTATCGCGACTCCATCCTCACGTGGCTGCTGAAGGACAGCTTGGGCGGCAACAGCAAGACCATCATGATTGCGGCTCTTTCGCCGGCAGATTGCAACTACAGCGAAACCCTCAGCACTCTGCGGTATGCGAATCGGGCCAAGAACATCATCAACAAGCCGACGGTTAACGAGGACACCAATGTCAAACTGATCCGGGAGCTCAGGGAGGAGATCAACAAGCTCAAGTCCATGTTGTCGGGCGATATTGTAAGTAGTTGACTTTAAAAGGTTTGTGTAGTCATAGAATTGAATATTGATTGCCCTATTCCTTTAGCACTCCCTGCAACCGTCGCTCAAGGTGTTGGCCGATCTCCAAAAGAAGGAGGCGCAAGAGAAAGTACTCACCGAGGAATGGACGGAGAAGTGGAAGGTGGCCCAGTCCATTTTGCAGGAGCAAAAGAGCCTGGGTCTTCGCAAATCGGGCGTGGGCGTGGTTCTCGACTCAGAGATGCCGCATCTAATTGGCATCCACAACGACGTGACCACCGGAGTGACGCTGTACAGTCTGAAGGAGGGCGAGACGCGAATTGGCAGCGAGGATGCGGATGTGGCGCAGGACATTGAGTTGGCCGGCGATGGCATACGGGCGCAGCACTGCAGCATTGTGCTGAAGGGTGGTGTGGTCACGCTTCACCCCTGGCCATTGGCCCAGTGCTGGGTGAACGCCCACCTAATTGACGAACCCAAGCAGATCTCGCAGGGCGATATTATACTGCTGGGCCGAACCAACATCTTTCGCTTTAACAATCCCGCCGAGGCGGCAAAGCTGAGGAAGGACTTAAGTCGCTCGCAGCTGGACATGTCGCGGCTGTCGCTGATCACCTCGTCTAAGGAAAACCTGCTGGCCTGCAGCATATACTCGGATGAGGATGGGGCATCTCCCTACAAACGTCCAGAACGCCAGTACTATCCTCAGCGGCCCATGTCGCGAGACGATCCCGAAATGCAGGATGAGAATCGAAAAATTCTTGATACCATCGAGAATGCCCTAAAGCAGCTCAATGTGGTAAATGGCTATATGCATCATGTAGTTGGTTTCAGTATTAAACATACATTTTTCATTGTTCAGGAACGCGTCCAAATGCACGACCAATACAAGACCAAAGTGCGTAAGCTGACCGAAGAGCTGATTCGCCTGGAGCAGCAGGAAATGGATGGCTTGCAGGTTTTGAATTGCCGGGAACAGGAGCTGATCGCTCGCAAGGACATGCTGCTGTGGGAGAAGAACAACGAGAAGGTTCAAGTGAGTCCATCCGATCTGTTCCACGCGATTGCATGTCACCATTACTTCTTCTTGATATGAATGGATTGATCGTTGTGCTTGCTATATTGCCTGTTGTCTTTTATTGTTTTCCTTGTTTTGGCTTTATGTTCCTTACGATTTTCTGTTCGTTCCATTTTCGTTTTAGATCGACATTGTATGTAGACAAATTTCAGCGTTTCAGACGCAGCTCGACTCTAAGAAACGAGATTTCTCTGAGTATGTAGCGAAAGAATTGCAGGAACTGCAAGATTGTGGCAAACTGGACGAGGTTTGTTTGTTTGTTTAGAATTTCTTTGCCTAGAGTTTGGATTAGATGATAATACCCATTCATAACAACTTATGATTGACAAACGAATTTCTGTATTCACAGATGGGCATGAAGATCGAAGAGGGCACTCCTCTGAACGATGAGCTGCTTTTGCAGGTGTCAGACTCATTGGATTTGTTTGCAGCGCAGTTTATAAAGGACACTGTGCGTCGAAATGTATGTTCAATTAATAGTCATTCAAGAATCGTTGCCATTAATAAATTCAAACCATTTAGAATGAGGAAATCCGCAAATTGGACGAACAAATAGCCGAAAAGGAGCGAATACTCAACGCAAGCACCACAAAAATAGCCAAGGTCGATGAGACCATGCTGGAGATCCAGGCCCAGCTGGAGCGCCTGCGTCTGGAACGCGCCGAAAGCGAGGCTGAGGCACAGGCGATGCGCGCCAGGAAACAGAACATGAAGCTGCAGTTGGGCAACAAGTCCATGTCCACCTCGACCAGCACAAACGAGGCCGACGATGTGTCCAAGTCGGACACGTACGAAACCTGTGATACCTTCCACACCGCCCAGTCCAACCTGTCGCTCGTCTCATCGCCCACCATCACGGAGGGCCAGCAGTCGCCGCTCAGCAATTGTTCCTGCGACGCAGAGGACGAGGCAGAGGACACGCGCAAGGATGACCTCTCGGGCAGCAGCGAGGAAACCTCACGCACCTGTACCGCTGGTCCCAGCAGTGGAAGTGGAAGTGGCAGCGTGGGCATCGGTACTTCTGACTCTGCGCCCAGTGCCACGCCCAGTTCGCAGGCCATCATGAGCGACAGCGGTGTCTGCCTGGATACGCGTAACCAGGCGCTACTCCAAAACGGACATCTCAACAACTATAAACAAGGGGTGCGAACCAGTGACGAGGACACCGGCTCCTGCTCCTCCTGCGAACTCGGACGGCACTCGGATGTAACCCGCCCATATTGTCCGCTTCACTCGCTGCGACGAAAGATTGCTGCTCAAAAGGCACTCATCATGAAGAACCTGGAAACGGACTTGAACAAGGTCCAGTTGGATGAGCACATTGCAGATCTGCAGGATCTGCAGCGACGCTACATACAAATGGAGCAGGAGATGCTGCAATCGGTGCAGGACTTGGAGGCGCATGCCCAGTGTTGTGCCGACGAGCGGTCCGGCATGGAGCGACAATACGAGCTGGCCAGCTCCATCATGCGCTCTAGTGTGATGAGTCCCACCAGCATGGAAGAGTCCACCTCACAGATCTATTCGCCCAGCATGACAAGATCCTGTCCATCCATGCGCGAGTTTCGTAAGTATTTTGTGGGAAGTTTATACCCTTACCCTTGAATATTTTTCTTTAAACAATGGCCATATTCGTAATTGGATCTTTGTTAGAACAAGATTTGAAGTTAACCATTTTCAAAATTATTTATTTGTTTTATAATTTTGTAAACGATTGGTTTTATGTTCTTTTATCTAATCTTGGATATGAAAGTTTAAGAATGACCATTTCATTAACTAATTTTGCATCTTTTGCAGCTGAGGGCGAACACTTCATTACCATCCCGAGTTTTGTGATGCGGGGCGCCGGCAAGCAAACGCACTACGAATACGAGGTTCGCATCGCTCTACCCGATGGCAAGCTGAACATTCTGCGGCGATACAGTCGCTTCAGGGAGCTTCACCTGTGCATGAAGCACTGCTACGGGGCCAAGGTAAGATACCTGGTAAAAGAAACCTTTTTTTTATCACCAAGTAAATGAATTATTTCTCCCCAGATCTCTGCACTGCCCTTTCCGCGACGGGAGCTCTTCGCTTCGAACAGCGAACCGGTGGCCAAACATCGACGCCGTCTGCTGGAGCTGTATTTGCGACGCCTGTTCGTCGTCTGCTCGAAGATTCCGCAGTGCCCGATCTACGAGGGTCCCGGCGGACCGGGCCTCACTCGCGCCTCCCTCGTCCAGCTGTCGTCTTTTTTCAAGAAGGGCCTGTTCGAGAACGGCAAGCACGGGACGGGATAATAGTTAACCTACTGCTGAATTATCTCCTGCCTACAGTGTGTCTTTTAATTTACTTGTACTACCTGTTAAGCTATATGAACGACAACATGGACCTGTTTTGATTGGCCAGCCAGAAATACTGCGTAGATTATAGTATAGCTGTAAGCCCCGATAGCTATGTAAGACCACCAGTGTCCTTTCTCACACCCGAGCATATATGCGACCATTTTTATACCCATTGTTATCAACTGAATCGGAGCTTTATATTGAAATCACTGAAAATGTAACTGCCAGTGGCGACGTTGCAATCTCTGATTTGTTCTACACCAAGTGCAAATATGTAATCTATCTGTTAGCATCCAGTTGAAGGTTTGTTTAGACGGTTTGTTGGTGTTGGCGATCAGTTTTAATTAGTTAATTATTCTCATTACTAGTTAAATATACGCATACAGGTGTACAACTTCCAAAAGTTTATTCCAGTTATTTAGTCTGTGATCACCAACTGAAGTTATAGAACAGAATCCAAGCAAATGAACGTAACTGAACATTTCACGAGCGAGTAATCCAACTGACAACTCCGCAGTCTACAATCTCTTAGGCTTAAGCTAATTGTACAAAATCAAACACTGATGGGTCTAGGTGGGCAGATGTTTAGCAGTAGGTATTAGGTTCACTAGCCACTAAGTTTTAGGTTTAAGTCGATGCGTCGCAATTACAGTAAACTAATTATGAGTACAATTTCTGAAAATGTAACAACATGAAATGTTCAATGTAAAAAGCATAGACTAAGCTTAATTTTAGCAATATGCTAGTTATGAATGGTGAAATGGGGCGATTGGGCGATCGGTGGATCGATGGCAATAAGTGAAACAATAACAGTATAGTTATAGTCAAACCTGATAGCTCCGCCCACTCAACCGGAAGTCCCTCAGGGGCAGGCCGATGCCGATTTGGCAACAGAGTTGATGCTGTCTTACAAAAAAAAAAAATACGTAAAAAAATACAATTTAATCCAAAACTAATGTTGTTTATTGCATGTATCAAATGGGTTTCATCAAGCAAAGTTGGAAGTGGTAAAATGTTCTGGCCACCACTGTATGTTTGTAAGGTTTCTAAATTATACATGGTGTATTTTTACTAAACCTTATTTTACATGTATTTTACTTTTCCAGATGCTTAAAATCGTGTTGTAAGTTCCATATTTTTATGGTAAGTCAAAATTTATTTTAACACTTATGGGTTTCGTCGCCAGGTGTCGCTATTGCAAGTTGTAGATTTAATCTTACTGATGACTTTTTGTAGATATTTTGTTCGAATATAAATGTTGTGCTTAAGTTTTTATGTCACGGTGCTTAAGAAATTCACAAGCTCAACATTCCTGTTGTCATTTCGCTAATATTAATATTTTCTCGATATTTCATTTCCATAACTGGAATTTTGAATTGTACTAAAATAATGATATAGCCGAATATAGTGACCACCATCTAAAATAAAGAAGCTGGATATAAAATTTTAATTGATGGGTCATTCTTTGTTATACCCCTCCAAAATACTTGAGGTTGATATTGAAGAACCCGCCGCAGTTGAATTGGAGCTTAAGGTGTTGCATTTGCAATGAGTATTCCCTTAGGCCCATTTTTAGCATTGAATAATTTTCGGCTGTAGGGAAGCAACCCATTTGCTGAAGAATGCGTGGGATGCTATTGTACTAAAAGATTTAAATAAGATTTAATTATTAAAAATATGTGAATATTTGATCATCCGTACCGCTTTAATGCAGAGCTCACTGTAAAAGCAGGACAAATATATGGTGATCAATAGTAAAAAACAAGTACCGACTCGCACTGTAAAAAATAAACAAGAAAGTCAAATTATCTGCACTCCTGAGAAATACTTACTATACTGGCAGCAATCGCGTGGATTGATAGACTTGATGAGAGCCCAGTTGACGATGTGCAGGATAGTCAGTCCGTTGTATACAAATAATTCCATCATGGAGATGGTGAAATACGTGGCAATCTCACCCACTAGTTTCCATATGCGGCCAACCATCAGCTGATTCCGTTTGAGAGCCACACAAAGCTCCTGAATCCTATCCCTGCAATCGCAGTCCTCAAGTTCAACATAGATCTGGTCGAGAGTATGGCGCACTCGGAGAATCAGCTCGTAGACTAGCAGTACGAACAAGCAATACTCCGAACCTTTAAACTGGTGCATTACCAGAATGAATTCGGTGAATACTTTATTGGCCCAGTGGAGGTGGGGTCCTAGACCCGCAAGCGTAAAACGTGGTACAAGGGCCACGAGCACTACCATCCATAATGCCACTGCAAAGGCCAATCGGAACCGTAAGCTCCACCAGTTTCTCCGTCCACTTAAATCTCTCCAAGCATTGTCTATCTGATCCTCCAGTTCCGCAATTTCCTCATAGATATGTCGGAGGCGGCCAAAGTTTAGCAGCATGTTGAGTTGGTTACAAGAAGTTATGGCCACGACAAGAATCTTCTGCGTGCTTCCCATTACTTTGCTAAAATCCTCCGTGTGGAACTGATGTAGATCCCGGTTTAAGGCGATGATGTTCGCGTAGCACTCGTAGATGACCAACAGAAGGATTGCAATTGAAAAGCACGAGTATCCTGCCACCAAGCAGCCCCTACGTCGCCTGTGCAATGTCCTGGCGAAAAAAAGGGGCGGAGGAGTAAGTCCGAATATGGAAAATACGTGCAGATATGGTCGAGCTGTGGTCAGCAGACTTCTGCGATGCACTTCCATGTCCGCCAAGGTCTCAAGAGGTACTGGTAACTGATGTAAACTTGCTTTTAAATTACTTTGCGTACCTTTTTCATTAATTACTATGATTAGATGATAAGCTTTCCATCAGATACAAACTAGTTCTTTAGTATTTTTCTAACGTGACTTCATTATATTGAATATAAAGTATGGGTTGATCTAAGAAACGTAATCTGAATGGGATCGTAAAAAAGAGCATCTCTTAAACTCTTATCCCAAATCAATAAGAATCAAGTGAAACGTTTTAAAACTTGTTGTTAAAAAATTATAAAAAAATAACCTTTGACCACTAATTTCAAAGGTTATATTTTTTTAATTTTATATCTAATATATTTTATAATATTACGTATATTTTCAATTTCGGTGAAACCTAAATTTTGAACTGTACTAGAATAATGAGATAGCCGAGTAAAACGACAGCCATCTGAAACAAAGGCGGTGAGTAGAAAGTTATAATCGACAATGCATGTTTTACCCCTCCAAAGTACTTAAGATTAATGTCGAATAAGCCTCCGCAGGTGAAGATTAGCTTCAGGTGTTGCATTTGCAAGGAGTATTCCCTTAGGCCCATTTTAAGCATTGGCAATTTTTCAGCTGTGGACAAGCAACCGATTTTGTGAATAACATGTAAGATGCTATTGTACTGAAAGGTTTTGGTAATACACATTTAAATATAAAACTTCTCTAGGACTTGGCATACTTACAGCATTAATGCAGCGCTCACTATATAAGCATACCAGTAATAGATTGACCGATAGTAAAAGACTAGATCCGAATCGCTCTGTAAGAAGGATAAATATATTGAAATGCTGTAGGACTTTTGGAGTTTACCTACTATGTTGGTAGCCATCGATCGGATTGATAGATCTTATGATAGCCCAGTTGACCATGTGCAGAATGGTCAGTCCATTGTATAGAATCACCAGTGGCAGGGAGAGGGTGAAATAACAGCCAATCTCTCCCACCAAGCTCCAAATTCGCCCAACCAACAGTTGGTTCCGCTTCAGAGCCACGCACAGTTCCTGAATCCTATCCCTGCAATCGCAGTCCTCCAGTTCGTCATGAATCTGGTCGAGGACATGGCACACTCGGAGAACCAGCTCGTAGACCAGAAGTACGAACAAGCAATACTCGGGACCTTTGAGTTGAAGCATTATCAGGATGATTTGTGTGAGTACTTGATTTGCCCAGTGGAAGGACCCAATGCGTCCATGGGTAAAGCGAGGTAGAAGACCCACGAGCAGCACGATCCACAATCCCACGCAAACGGCCAATCGCAATCGTAAGCTCCACCAGTGTCTCCGCCTACTGAAGTCCTTTGCCGCATTGTCTATCTCCATTTCCAGATCGGCAATGTCCTCATAGATACGTCTAAGGCGACGAAAGTTCAGCAGCATGTTAAGATGATTGAAAAAAGCCATTGCCACCACGAGAAATTTCTGTGTTCGTCCCATTACTTTGGAAAAGTCCTGTACTTGGAACTGATGCAGGTCCTGGTGAAAGGCCCCAATGTTTACATAGCACTCATAGACGACCGTCAGAAGGATTCCAACTGCAAAGCTGCCGTATCCTGCCATCAAGCAGCACCTACGCCGCCTGTGCAATGTCCTGGCGAAAAAAAGAGGCGGAGGAGTGAGACCGAATACGGATAGAACTTGCAGATAGGGACGAGCTGATGTCAGCAGACGACTGCGATGTGTTTCCATGTCCCTCGAGGTGCTCAAAGCTACTGACAAACCCTGAGAACTTCCGGGGTCAACTGGTAAACACTAAGTAATTACTTAGATAGGACTATCATGATTTTTTGCTTGGCGTTATTTCACTACAAATAAAGCTCCTCCTAAGGTCAAACACTGATTTTGCTTAGATTAATAGTATAATTTTGAAAAGCACTTTTTTTCTGTTTATTAAACTATGTTTTTAGAAGTGTGTTATTAAACAATAGAATGGTTCTTTCTTTTTATTTATTTTCTTAATTAGATATGATAATGGGTATTTTTGCCCATATTTGTTTTTTACAAATATAGTCCCTTTTTGAGTGGAAAGAGTTTGTTTTTATTGTATAATTAATTAGATATTTTATGTTTATTTATATTTATTTTTAAGCTATGATGACTTTGCATTAATCGTTAGATATTTAAATTTAAATAAAAATACTTTGAATTCATTTTGTTTTAGATGCTACTGTTTGGGCTTGCCTTAAATTTGGTCTCAGCAATTCCCTGGACTTTGAATTGTATGAGAATTATGGAATAACCCAATATCGTAACCAACACCTGTAAATAAATACCAATGAGCAACCAATTATGAGCAAAAGTGTAGATTTCGTACCCCGCCAAAGTATTTTAGGTTGATGTCGAAAAATCCTCCGCAGGTGAAGCGGAGTTTCAGATGTTGCATCTGCAAGGAGTATTCCCTTAATCCCCTGGTTAGCAGGGGAAATTCAGATGATGCAGACAGGCTACGAATTTGATGGAGGATGCGTGGGAAACTGTTGTACTGCATGTATTTAATATTAAATATATATTTGAAATTGATACGTATTTTCTGGTCAACTTACAGCATCGATGCACCGCTGACTTAGAAGGCAAGCCAACAGAAGATTTATTAGGAGCAACATGCAAGTTCCGAATCGGTCTGGAAAATGTTTATTTACAATAAGATTATTGTGATTTTACAAAATTAGTTTTTTTTTATTTACAAACCATAGCGACAGCAGTCTTCGTCGAGGAATGTATTGATATATGCCCAATTGACCACATGCAGAATGGTGAGTCCATTATAGATAAACAGCAGCGTCATGGGCAGAGCGAAGTAGCTGGCCAGTTCGCCCTCCAGTCTCCAAACGCGGCCAACAAGTAGCTGATTTCTCTTAAGAGCGACACACAGAGCCTGAAGCATGTCCTGGTGATTGCAATCCTGCAGTTCCACCTGCAGTTGAAGAAGGGTGTTGCGCAATCGCAGAACCAGTTCGTGGACCAGCAAAACAAACACACAATATTCCAGGCTCTTGAGCTGCTGCATCACAATTACAAGCTCGGTGAGAATTTTGCTCGGCCAACTGACGTAGGGGCCCATGGACAGGAGTGTGAATCGAGGCATGACACCCACCAGCAGGATCAGCCATAGACCCACAATGCAAGCCAAGCGGAAGCGGAAACTGAAGCGTTGCCCTTGTCCAGCGAAACACTGCGAGGCGTCGTCAATATCCTTCTCTAGATTTGCAATGTCCTCGTAGATTCCGCCAAGGCGTCGATAGTTAAACAGCATGTTTAGTTGATTGGCAATGGCTATTACGGAAAACAGGCTCTTCTGAATGCTACCCATTACTCTGGTAAAGTCGGCCACATTGTAGTCCAAGACTTCCTCGTTTATGGCGACAATGTTTATGTAGGAGGCGGCGAAGACAAACACAAGGATGGAAACTGCATAGCAGACGAATCCGGCCATCAAGTACCTTTTAGGGCCTTTTCGTGTGGTACTATCAAAACTTTGGGGCGGTGGCGTCTGGACAAACACGGAAAAGATCTGAAGATACGGAAGAGCTGTGGCCAGCAGGCGGCTCTTTTTTGCAACCATTTTAGGTGAGTTCTGAAAACGTAATGAAAAGAACACGTTACGAAAAGATGTCCCATAACAAATGCTGGGAGTATCCTTGTACCTTGTATCCTTGTGAAAAAGTCAGTACCTTTGGCTTATTTTACATTGCATGTTTTAACAAGAAAGGAAGCCAAGGAAGTTTATATACCACTGCAACATTTTTTTTTAATTCTAAAATTGAAAAGTTATATTTTAAAAATTATAATTTTTTTTTATATTCGTTTCTTTTTATGGGAGCTAAATATGTATATATAAAAAAATAAGAAACAGCAAAGTTATAATATTTTCTCATTTTGTTTTCCGATTGTTCTCCAGGGAGCTCTATGCTATAGTCGTCCGATCGTGCTCGTTCCCACTTATGCTGATCAAAATAGGTATATCTACTTTATAGGGTCGGAGGTGTCTACTTCACTGCGTTGCAAACATCTGACTGAAGTTATAATATCCTCTGCAAGGATATAAAAACATAAAACTATATTATCAGAAATCGACTTGAACTGTGAATCTAATTAGGAATTAATGAGGAAATAGTCAATATTTTGTATATTATTAAAAATACCTTCTAATCCAACTGGTCTAAATTAATTGTGTACCTTTCCCATCACTGCCTCTTCGCTTACCTAATTATTCAATAAACCAGGCAAGCACATTTCACTAATTAGCTAGATAAGATGTTCCATTAACCACTAGGGGTTGCTTTTCGGGGGGCCTGTTGCCAACTGTTCCCCTGGACGATTTCTATCACGCTGCCTGGGCAATTTCCACGTCATAACGCTGGCAATATCCATTTACCATACCATGCAAATGTGGGCTAAATTGTTTTTGTTTTTGGCCAGCAATCAGCATTGTCTTTCGACGACTGCATGTGGATCCACACATTTCCATCTCTCCATCTGTCGCTTTCAATTGCTCCATTTTCTTGCTTCATTTTCCATTTTGTGCACATAATTGCACTTCTTGTGAGTCAAAGTGGGCAAACAACCAACCTCACCGACATCCACTCTCAAGCTGGTGCTCCTTCTGCACAAGCTAAATCAAACGAAAACACCCAACCACCCCCTCAACATCAGATCCCGTTCAATCCCTAACCGCCTGCTAATCCCGTGCTGGAATTTCCCTGGGATCCACATGCACACACGAGGATTCGGATCCCGATCCGGATGGAGGTTGCCGGCGCGACGGCAAGACATTGACGGGATTAAGTGTCCTTTTTAATTTTAAACTACTTCACTTCACTATGCTCAGTCAATGAGTGCGCTCCCTCTGAGTCCCTCTTTTATATCCACCACTCGGCTCGGCTTCTCCCCTTTTTATTTTTTATTACTTTGGCCCTGTATGTTACTCTTTCGAGTCCTTTTCTTTTAAGCTTGATTAAGCACTTTGTGTAACTCTATGACATGGACATGCATTTGCATGCTGGACGCCGTGCCAATGGCATTTTTAATTTGCCATAGCAACATATCCTGATCCTGCTCCACTTCAAACCAGTGCTGCTCTAATAGCCTATTGCACGAAAAAATAAAATTTCACCAATAATTCAATAATATTAATACAATTTTAGTATTAAGAGTCGAAATTATATAAATGTGTAATGTATATGCTATAATATATAATATATATTTGTAAAATTACTATTACTTTGTAAAATGTACGTTTGATTTTCATGAACTATCTTGGTAAGTAGGTTTGGCTACACACATTTTTTATTTTTTTAATTATAAATATTTGCACCAACTTTTAGTGAATTTTATAAAATTATTTTTAAGGTAAAAAAAGATTAAATGTAATAACTGATATTTTATCAAACGTTTCCGAGAGTTCCAAAAAAAGCCCAAGTTGCCATCAGTGTCAGGACACTCAGCTTGGAGAGCAGGGCAAATTGCATGCATTAGCATTGGTACTGAGGGACGATGGGCCGATAAAGTGGGTGGTGATGGGAATCCCGCCCAGTGGGTTGCGATGGAGGAGCTGGCTTCTCATTTATTATGCAGGGCTTCGAAGTAACAATGACTTTGGATTATTGCTTCCTCCCTGCCGCAGCAAACAATTGAAATACAATAAAATTATATAATTTTTAACAAGCCACAGGAAAACGGAAGTGCTTGTCCATACCCACACCGGCATACAGATACAGGCGCCGGCAGATTTACATGGCCTTAATAGCCAATCTCTGGCATTGGCGCACTGATAGTCGGTATAAAAAGCGCTTTTTCCACTACATTTTATCATTCTTATTACAAATGTATTGTATATTGTTTAAATTGCATTTAACTTAAATAAAAAAACGAATTATATATATTGATATATTTTATTCGCAAAGGTAAATAAATCCACATAAAGGAATGGTTGGCTGTGTGCGAGTGTCTGCGAGCAATAAACAAATACAATTTTATTATTTATTATTTATGTATTCATGGCCATTAAACGGATATCCGTTGCCGTGGTGCATTAAATTGCACTGCCGCCCAACCGCCCCACTCATCACCTACTTCACCCCTTACCTTTGTTGTGACCTACAAGGACTCTCGCCCTCTCCATTTTTTCAATACATAAAGCGGATCACGTGTCGCGGTCACGGAGTCAGCTTTAATGCACCTTTAGTTCTTGTTCTGTGAGAGATAACTTATAAGATTCGAACTACTGGAACAGAAGATTAGTTGGCTATAGAGAAGATTAAAACTAAATAATACTGTGTGCTTGTGCGCACAAAAAAAACCTTTACTATCTACAAAAAGGTCAGAAGACGTCTATAGAAGATGAAGCCCAACTGTTTGGAGTGTTTATTAAATTGAATATGTATGGTTTTTAGCATCTTAGTTTTGTGAGCCTGCCCAATTTTATTTTGCAATAAGCCGCTCGAATCATATGCATCATAAGTGGTCTCTTAAAATTGTGTGTATTGGTGTGTCGAGTTTGTCAAGTAGTTTTAAATAACTGTGTGCTTAATTCTCTAATAGTTTGCAAAATTAACAAACAAAGAAAACTTACCAAGTGCTTTTAATGCTATGTGTGTTTTAAGTAAGTCAATTAGATATCCAGTTAGGCAAGCACTCGTGTTTAATATTCTTTACCGAAAAATGCTTAGTTGTTTCTTGCTTTCCAACATGCACGTTTGGAATTCCATTTCTCCTCTATGCTATATATATTATTTTACGATTAATAATCTTGGGTAAGATAAATTCCTTTCTGCACAGAAAATGAAGAGAAAAATATGTTTCTTATTTTTCTTAAAACCCAAAGTTGTTAAAGTTGTTTCCCAAACGCCTCTTCAATCTCAGTAAAGTAAAGTAAAATTGAAAAGCCAGGAATTCATAAACGCTTACTGTGTGATTTAGTAAAATCTCCAATTAAAATTTATCCACAACTTAATAACTGCTGAAGCATGTGATAAGCTTCCGTCGGGCCATAAGTATTTCGTTATCTGCCGAGCAATCGTTTGGCAGGATGCGATACAAGTTTAAGGAAGTATCAATTGGGGGGGATAAAGGCTTGGCGATACAAAGACACGGAGCTCTCCTTTCTCCGATTTCCATTTCTCCGGATTGTGGTTGGCGGTTTTAGTTGACTTGGCACTGGCAAACAGCTGAAAGTGTATCTTCGGCTTTCAATATGTAATCAATGCTTTCGAATAACTTTCCCATTCGCAGCAAGGCTTTTGTCTTGTGCAAATCAGGAGACGGAGCACCGGCGTTTGGAGTTGGGTAATGGCATCACCTAAGCCAACCTATCCATGCGAAGAAACCATGCGAACCTGGGAGTCGACTGAAGTATGGAGATATTGGCACACAGACTCGGAGCTGGCGTGTGTGGCCTGCCTGGGGCGCACAAAAGGGATTTCAATAATACGCGCACAATCTGTGCTGAAAGCTTAAACAATAAAAGTGAAAATTCCGCCAGAGCTTCTAGATACAAGGGAAAAGGATATTATTGGGATGTGTGATCCTAACACTGCAAAAATGCAGATAAATCTGAAATCAAAAATGAATTTAAAATTATTATGCGAATTGCTGATTGCCTTTCTATTAAAAAACATTTGGTAGCTTAAAACATAAGTTTTTATAACCAAAGAAACTTATTTAACTTAACTTTCAAGATATTTCGGTCATTTGATAAAATGTTCTAAATTCAATAAAGATCCAGTTCTTATTAAATACAATTTACTTGTCATATATATATTTAATATTATTTATATTATTATGCGAATTGGCATGGAGTCAAGCTATAATTTGAGCATACCACGCGATTTGAAAATTGTCTAACCACCCCAAACCAAATCACGAGGCTCACGAACTTGAAACTTATTCATCGCTAGGATAACTTTTAGTTGTGGTTGAACAGGACAATGCGACATGTGTAGCCGTGTATCTGGGCATCCGTGCAGTCGAGTCTCCCAGTATCTTCCATACTGCCAACCAGCCAGCAAGCCAGACAATGCAGATTAGCTCCGAAACGGAGGGGCCCATCCAGCACTCGAGACCTTCGTGAGAGACAAAAGCACTTGGCCGGGATTTTAATGAATAACAACATGAAGAAGTACGGACTGGGTAACAAGAGCAGGAGCAGGAGCTGGAGATGGCATCCACATCAATTACATTGCGGTTGGCTGCCATTGCCAGGGACACTCTAACAATCGAGGGCCAGGAGCACGTTCGCATATGAATATGAAATGCCGAAGTACATGGCTACGGCCATATCGATGAAAATCAATTTCACTGTCATTCGGGAATCGGAACAGAATCGGAATCGGAATCTCTCAATTGGTCGAAGCAGCTCGAAGATAATTCTGTGTTTGTGGCACTGAATTGTCAATATCAGCTCAAGTTGATATTGCCCCATTATCTGTGCAATTTGGAACACAACTCGGCGAGTACTGCAACTGTCGGTTTTGGATGATTCCCAGCAAATCAGCTACCTTTTTGACCTCTTTGCCTGCGGCCTATTGGGCAAATTAGTTTTGTCTGATTGCAAATTGTACAGGG